TGTTGCCAGCATAGGGTTTTCTAGACAAATAAATAACTGTTAATAAAATGTTCATTTATAACATTTTATTATCAATCATTTATTTGTCCAGTTACTTTTGAGCCCCTGAAATGAAGGGATATTGTTAAAAATGCTTTAGTTCATCACATTTTTAATATTTTTGTTCAGCTGCATTTGAGTTGTTTGGTTAAAATTCATTGTGCTAATATACAGAACCAAAATTAGAAAAATGTTGGCTCTGTCCAAATATTTATGGGCCTAACTGTATGTATATACACATTAGTTGCAATGACACACTTTCTATTTTTTTAAAAAACAAAACAAAACCAAAAACACAAAAAAACCCTGTGTTATTTGAATCCACAAGCCAGTAAAGACTTACGAGACAACAGATACCCATCTGAATGAATAGAGGCATGCAGCTACAGCACAATAAGTTTTTCTAAAGCAGAATTTCTGAAGAGTGATAAAGCTGTAAAATGAGGCTTTATTTTTATGTGCAGCCAATTTCATAGGAGAAAGACAGGCTGTAGGGTGTAAGTAAGTGGCAAAATCAAAGATATTTTTTTACTTTAATCTCAAAATAAAAATAAAAACTAAATGAGGTAATAGCTGTAGGGCATACTGTAGATGACGGAACTGAATATTTGGTTTTATTAAATGCCTCATTTTACCAGAAAACAGATGTTTTCTGTTGAACATGTCAGGCTTTTGATATAAGTAGATGTATTAAGGTTACTTAAAATGACTGAATGTCTGTCTCTCTGTGTTAGCCCTGCGACAGATTGGCGACCTGTCCAGGGTGTACTCTGCCTCTTGCCCTATGATAGTTGGGAAAGTCTGCAGCCCTCATGACCCTGAACTGGATAGGTGGAAGGGAATGGATGCATAAATGTTAAAAAAAAAACACAAAAAAACCCCCACAAAAAAAACCAACAACTTTATTTAAACTTTCTGGACTTGCATGTGTAATAGTTATACATATGCAAGAGAATTCTCTCCCCCAACTGGTCACAGCAGATGGCCGCCCCTCCCTGAGCCTGGTTCTGCTGGAGATTTATTCCTTTAAAAAGGGAGTTTTTCTTTCCCACTGTCGCCAAAGTGCTTGCTCATAGGGGGTCATGTGATTGCTGGGTTTTTCTCTGTATGTATTTTTGTAGGGTCTACCTTACAACATAAAGCGCCTTGAGACAACTGTTGTTGTGATTTGGTGCTGTAGAAATAAAATTGAAATTGAAGAATTTGTCAACAAACAATACTCTCCATTTGCCTTAATTGGTGACATGTTGAGTCAGAGATTATTTGTGTGCAAGGAGTGTTTTTCCAGAACCACCCATTCCAAACACAAGGTCAGCTGTGGGCTAAACGTCCTCGTGCTGCTGCTCCATTATTCCAGTTTTTCTTCTTGTAAATTTCTAACAACACGACTGGAAAGTAATCCTAAAAGGAATCTCATTATAAGATACATGAATAGTTTATTATGACTCTAATGTCTTTAGATATGAGAGACTTAAAGTCTGTTAAATGGGATGTATAATGTTATGTGCACATTAAGCATTTTAGCATCTCCTAGTGGTTAGCTTGGAGACTACGGTCAAGTGAATTTTTCTGTGGCTTGGCTTGTGCATAATTCTTTATTTTCATTGAGCATATTTCTGTTTTGTATTTTTGTAGTTTCACAAGCTCTGGGAAAGCACTGTAAGATGTACATTGGTGAAAACAAACAAGTAAACAGCCCTCAACTTTACTTCCACATCTGACTCATCATTTAACGCTTTCAGTGCCTGCTGCATATGTTTAGCTATCTGTCACTTCGTGCAACAGAACCACGCACGCAGGGGACAGAATAGAATGTATAAGAATCCTATGTGCATCTGTATTACCAGGTACAAGCTGAGTTGAATAAAATGAAAATCAAACAATCTCAGGAGCTGTCAATGGCATTGTGAAGCCAGAAGTCCAAAGAAACACTTGTGGCTGTCAATACCACATTTCAGGATTGCAAGGGTGTGTTCTGCTGCGGAGGCAGAATGCTGCAGTGAAGAAGCAGTACATAATAAATGTGAAATAAAAATAATATCTTAAAAAAATAATTGACTTTTTCACATCAGGACAACAGTCAAAACTCTGTGACCCATGACAGCTAATTTTTCAGTATTTAGAAATAAAAGCTTGACCTGTAAGCATTTTGAGTGAGTGCTTATAATTACTAAGAGAATTGATTTTATCTTTAAGAGGTATGTGTAAGACAGCTGGATGAGATCTTAAAGCAGTTAAATCTTTTAGAAAGCTGAAATGTGTGGGCCGACTGTATCAAAGACCTCTTTACTGAATTCAGTAATGTCCACGGTGCATGATGGGGATTTTAATGTGATTAATGGGATCTGTTAGAGTGTGAAAGGAAATGAGCTCAAAGCTGCTGAGAGAGGGTGAGCCCACTGAAGAGGCTATTATGTCCCAGCTGACTGCCGGGGGAAATCTGGCATCAGATGTTGTCCTTTTTTTTTTTTTTTTCCCATTAATTAAATGAGCAAGACGTTCCTCGCACCATTCTGACCAAGGCTCAGTGATGTTACTGTAGGAAATGGGACAGTGATGGAGTATAATCTGTCAGAAAGATGTCTGAAATAATTGTACATGAGCCACCGGCAGGAGTATTGAAAACGGGCATAAGTAATAGAAGTTTATAAATCTCCTTCACATGTCAACCAAGCATTTGCTTTTAGCACATGGCCTGAAATTCAATTTAAGACACTCGTGTTTTCAATTCAGTTTCCACCCTGATGGCCAGCAGGGTGCCAGTGGAAACTGTGGTACTGTTGGTCAAAGAGAAAGGAACAAGCTGAGGTGTCAGATGAGGTGAGAGGAGGGATTGTGTCTCAGCATCCGCTGACCCCACTCTGTGATTGTATGTGACCACTACGCTTCTGAGCGTATGCCTAGCTGCAGGGTGGCTGTAGCTCAGGAAGTACAGCAGGCCATGCCAAGTATTCTTGTGCAAGATACTAACCCCAAGTTGCTCTCCGATCCATCCATTGGAGTATGAATGTTAGCTAGGAGGCACTAAAAGCTTAGAAGAAAGTGAATGTGGGACGTTGTATAGAGCGCTTTGATTACTCTGGGAGAATAGCAAAGCGCTATATAAGAATCAGTCCATAGCTGCTTGGTTTTATTCAACTGTGGCCATGGCAGTAATTGAAACACCTGAATTCAATTATTTGGATATTTGAGTGAATCCTTTAGTGTACTTCATCACAATGGTAACCATTTAGAGCTCCTGCTGTATGTTTCTGAATGGCTGCCTGAAAAGGTAAGACAGGGAAAAAAATAAATAAATCAAGGAATGAAGTATTTGGTAACATGACCAACATGGTTGTCCTGCCTTTGTAAGACTTCTCAGCTATTGTTCTCAGTGATCCATGTAGACACTGTGGTCACAGGCTTGTACACCAATCCTGGCTACATGATTATAAGTGATTACTGTTAAACCTTTTTCTCTTACTATACTTTTACTATAGACTGTAAACATCAACGTATGGAAACAAAACTTTTAGGAGGCACGGCTGAAGCAAGGCAGTCAGAGCACACAATGTATAAGTCACTGTGAAAATCCAAAACAAAGGATTGTTAGGATATGCAAGGGTGAGATCATTGATGGTCAGTCTTGTACGTATGCCTTTAATAGTGAATGTTGTCCGATAACATTATTAAAACCTGCTGTCTCTTTCACCTAAATGTAAAACAAGATGTACGAAAACATCTTTCACTTTCACAATTTCCTCATTTTATTTTATGCCTCCTTCTGCTAGTGTGTACAATTTAAAGTCAGGGGATCCTTATTTTCACTCATTCTTGTGGTTTGTTTTTGCTCCACACAGGGTTGGTAGATTTTTCAGGATGTGCACCCAGACAGTTTCCTTTCATGTGTAAATGTAAATTGAGCTTTACATTCTGCACCGTCTCATTATAGTGTTCTGCCTTTGCCTTTCTAGTGTTATTAGCACTGTGCTGAGTTTGGATCAAGTACACAGTGAAATACACCGCTGTGAAAGAATATTTTCCCTCTTCCTTCCTTTCATATTTATTACTCTAAAATGTTCAGATCATCAAATGAACTTAAATATTATAGCATATGGCAGATGTAATTTCATGAAAATCTTCAGGTATTTTACTAGCTTAGAGTAAAGAGGTTTTACTGTATATATTAAGCAAATGTTTTTTTTAATGGAGGGGCTGTTTTTTTTTTTTGTTTTTTTTTTTTACACATGGGAGTCTATGAGTACAAGCCTCAAGTGGGAACCTGAGAAACTATCAGTTCTGTAATTGCTTCATTTTTCAGCACTAGTAGTTGCCACTTCAAGAGTTTCACCCACCACAAGGGACCAGAATCTGCCAATTTCCAGAATTCTTGATTGTTGACTGGCAGATCAGCCTCACGCAATCAGGCAGGCAAATCAAGCATGTGAGTGTGGAAAGGACACTCACAGCCACATGGTAACCCACTAAGGCTACATCCACACTAGCCCAGATAGATTTGAAAACAGCGTTTTCGTCTGAAAACGCTACGCGTCCACACTAGTGTTTTCAATCATTTTCACAGAGTTGTGTGTCCACATTGAAACGACCAAAAACGCTTTTGGGCTTTTTTTTGTTCACCAATTCTGCTTTTTGTTTTTGTGTTAAAAATTAAAAGACAATTAAGATTGCATGTATCCTTGTTACAATAAGGATTTATTGATGAAAAAAAATGTGGGACATAGTATCTCAGGCCATTAAATATGCTCATGTGTTTCCCTTTTTAATAACCCTTACCTATATTGAGACAACAGTGCTTTTTTCCATCTTTATCACATCCGATTCCTGAGTTGAGTCACAGGATATTCTTTTCCTTCCTACTCTGTTTGGCCACTAAATTGAGGTCTTCCACCCAAGCATTTCCATGAATACTGTCTGCATATATTTACATTGTCACCCCAACAGTCCTTGGTGTTGGTGTATGATTGTTTTTTTTCTTCTTTTTGTGTTGTTTTTTTTAGTCCCTCTGGTAGGTGGAGGACTATCTCTGAATGTTAAAAAGGCATCTGAAGCTAAAGTTTAGACATTTTTTCAGTTCCAACTCCTCCCAAGCTCCATACTGCTGCCTCAGATGAACTGTCAGCCAAAAACAGGCTGCAGCGCAGGGCTTTAATGGAGGACTGGAATAAAGAAGAAAGAAAGAAAAGGTATATGGAGTTGAAGATGCAAGGAGAAGTAAATGAGGTGGAATATTTGTGTTTGAACTGAAACATGATGGAGTCATTATGAAGACTGCTCATTTATTTTTTCATTTAGAGGCAGTGTTGCATGGTAATGTGTTATACAGGAATGACAATATATCTGCCTGGAACGTGCAGCATAACAAACGATGTTCTACTTTCATCATATAATAGTTATATTCTTTGATGGTTTGTGGTTGAGTGTTGGCAACTTGATTTGCTGATTAGGCATTTTGACATTGTTTTATGGTTAAATGTTTAACTTACCACGATGCCATTGTCACAGTCTTGTGTAATTTGAGCAGCAGTCTTGCATGAGCAGTGCCAGAAGTCTGTAGATGTTAATAAAGACTAATTTGTTTTGAGTTAACAGACACTGGCAGGAATAAGAATGACCACAAAAACAAACTTAACTGAGCTGAAAAAGCATATAAGACAGTCCAGAAGAACTCAAAGTCCAATAGACAAATGAAACAGAAATCCAGACGAGGACTGTGAGGCAAAGCCAGGACTAAAAGGACACGGGGAAGTAACTGGGGACAGCACTATTTAGCTCAGAAAGAGACCTAAATCTTAATTTTAGAAAGCATAAATGTATTTATAACATTTTTAAAATCACATCTGAATTAATAGGTTTAAGCATTGTGTGACATTGATAAGTGTGAATATGGAATTATAAACAAATACAAGATGTTGTATTTGGAAACCACCTTATTTGTTTAAATTGACTGTTTTATAAAGAAGGATTTAGCAGGAGCTGATGCTTTCCCTGCACCATCAAGGCTTTTCTTGCTGATGTGCTTTTCACACTACTCCCAACTCATCTGCATCACACATGTTGACCAAGATGGTTAGTACAAAGAAAGCTGAGGTATCGTTGTGTGCTTGTTTAATTGCTAGTCCTAGTTCTGTTCTGGCAACTGATCTCAGAACAGTGAAAGCAGAGGCATCATCTCTGTTTCCCATTAGTTCCCCATCAAAGAGGGGAACTGATCAGAGATTTGTCCACCATGCACAAACAGCCACAAAACGCTGTTTGCATTTGAACTTGAAAAGTTAAAGCCATTCTTAACGGGATATGAACACGCACCTGAATCTGGCCAAAAGCAGAGTCGAGACTGCTTGCACTGTCAATAGTCAACTGCAGCCACAAGTCGGCGGATGATCTGATATCCTCGTGTTCGTGTTGTTCCCAGATCATCATGAAAATGTTGTTCCAGGTTCAACATTGCAAGTGACCAATCACATTGTTGTGACGTTATTCCTTTGCGCGCCAAGCCATTCGTGCATTTATGAAATTCCAATGTTGCAAGGAAAATATCAATTCTGCTTACTGTTTATTAAAGGGTTACAGTTAGGGTCAGGGTCTGTTGATCGCGGACAGAGGCAGTTTCACGCAGCTTAAGTACAGTTTTGTTTTACGCCGGTTTTTCCCGAAGTCGCAAGAGTATGACGTCACAACATTCTGATTGGTCACTTGCAATGTTGATCCTGGAACAACATTTAGTATGATGATCTGGGAACAACACCAACATGAGGATATCAGATCAACCCAAGTTGGCAGTGATTTGAAGGATAGATGCAAAAAGGTGAGGGGCTGTGGGACAGAATGCTGTTTGAGATGAAAGGAGAGAGACTGTGTTACTGTTACGCCCCGTCCCCTTTAGCCCGGGATAGCCACTGGCCAGAGGTGCAACCTTATCTCGGAATAGTGGAAGAACACGGGAAAAGAGTGTAACCGCGCATAAACCAGTCACTGGAAGGCTCACGGGGTTTATTTCACCAAGCCAAGCAAAATACTTGCAGCATACAGCTGAGCCGGGAAGCTAAAAGCTTCGGAGTCTCCGAGGCCAAAATAACAAACAAAAACCCTCCCCCATTCTAGTAACAAAACACCAGGGAGGTCAGGTGTCGTATTTTCTTTTTCTTGATCAGGGAAGTAATACCCCGACCTCCCTGGCTTTCCATGAAACGGGAGAAAACTGGTCAAACAAAAATGGCGGAGAACCCCCTACCTGCTTCCACGGCAGTCCCCCGCGATCTCAATATCCCAAACAGCAGAGGGGCACAGAAACACTATCACACACGCCGCTCAGAGCCTCCAGAAGTCCGCTCAACCTTTCCGAGCTGCCGTAGCGTGTCGCAGGGAAGGGGGGCTAGCGTGTGAGACACGGCCGTTTTGATCCCGTGGCTAACGAGCCGTAACGCTACTCAGCTGCGTCACCCAGAACCCGAAAGACGTGACAGGAAGGGGGAAAGGGAAACAACAGCATTCTCCCACAGGGAGCGTCTCCTAGCCATATCAACAACCGTAACAGCTGCATTTGAACTAATGTCAATTTTTAGATTTCACAAGACAAGCACTGCTTGCCTTGTTTGCCATTGTTCTGTCTACATTATTGTTTGAACTTACACACGGATTCAGTATGTTGCTCAAGGATACAAATGCAATACAATTACATTTTCCACACTTGGCCAGGCAGGCTTGGCTAACCTTTGTCCCTTAATAAATAAAAGAAGAAGAATTCTTTATATACAAACATTGTCTCTTCCCATTCCCAGAGTAACAAATACGGCTGTATTTAATAAGCTGCTTAACACTTTTTGCACCAATCTCACACTGTGGTACAATAGGTGTGCTGGCATTGCCATAAATAGCAAAAGACTCAAGAGTCTCTTATAAGACCATACCATGTGTCCTGTTTAAAAGCTTTGTGTTTACAAGTGTTTAAGTTGTTAAGTCTTTTATTGCTCACAGTTCTGTTGGATTCAAAAATCGAACTTTTTTTTACTTTCAGGGAAGCATTAGTGGTTTTCAGGTCACAATGTTAATTCTGCACAGTAAAAAAATTAAGCTAAAAGGTACCCAGTCCTTTCAAATGTGTCACCATGGGTCCTGAGACAGCATCCGTCCATAATCAGCACTGTGGCAATTTGCAGAAAGCTGCTGAGTGACTCAGAAAGAGTACCTTTATGAATATGAAGATCAGCATATGGCTTTCAATATTGCTATTACTTGGAACTACCACCATAAATCCAAGGGTAATTGAGCTTGAGTGTTTTTCATAAACAAGATGGAAGCGTGTCAGTGATTATAGACACACCTTCTTGGCTTTGTCTCCAAATGTTATGTTAATGTAATCACTAATAGAGAGAAAGTGCTGAATTGCTCTTTGATCCTTCATTACAGTCTTTCATGAGTGATGAAACCATTTTCATCAGAGTCTCAAGAGCTTTGTCAGATACACCTAACGGTATTCTACACTCCAGGAAACAGTGTTCAGTGGTAGAACCCTTATTCGTCATCTCCCCCGTTTTCTGTTGAGTTTTTTCCTCACTCTCTACATTTGTATTTATCCGATTATGTTCCCTGGCTTGCTGCAAATCACTGTCAAAGTTCTATGAATTACACTTGCTTCAGTTACTGATTTATCTATTCTCACTCTCCTTTCTTTTCTTTATTCAGTTTCTTTTTTCTGTCTTCTCTCCATCTGTCATTACTTGCTTTCATTTTCTTTGTCAGTCATTTCTCTTGTATTCATTATCTGTCATTATTACCTTATTTTCTCTTTTCTTTCTCTGAGGTTACTTTGTTATTCCATCACCTTTATTCTCTTTATTCAGTTTCCTTCTTTTACGCTTCTTTTCTCTTGTTTCACTCCCAAGAGCACTAATTTTTCTGTTCCATTCTCTAGGATGTTCAGATAGTGAGCACAGATGAGAACCAGGTCTTCCTCGCCCTCCAGGAGTGGTACCAGTCAGACACATACAACCTGTACCAGTCAGATCCCGAAGGCATCTACTACTCCATCGTCCTGGAAAATGTTCGCAGCACCAAGCAGCCAGAGGAGAATGTTCTCATTGACATTCTGGAGGTAAGATGGGGTTGT